CGAAGTCACACGCCACTCTCGACCTGATCCAGAGCATATACATTTCATCAATCTGCAGCCTCCGCGCTGACAAGTATGAGGGAAACGAGGCTCTGCTCGCCCTTCCCAATCTCAGACACATCATGGCCCTCATCGGCCCCGTCAGAGCAGACTTAGAAGAGATCGGAACTCTCCACGGTGGACGTCGCTCTCTCGCCCTGGATTACCAGTTGTTCCCCGACTTGCAGTACTGGGACACGATGCCCAAGGGTCGGAACTTTTGCTCCATCTGGCGTAGATTTCAGGAGAAGGGCATCAAGCTTTACGGACTGATCGGATTATCCAAACATTCTCCCAAAAGGTGTATCATGGAGATCTTCCCCTCGGAGGATGGTACTATGGTCCAATATGTCAGCCCCAACTGTTCTTGCTGCCCGAGAACGCCCACATCGGAGAGAAGAAGGCTGGCGTCCAAGATGAGGCGGGCGCAGCTGGGCTGCTAGAGTCTCAGACACACACAAGGCCAGAGAGAACCAGGGCTAGAGAAGCCGTACGGACGGAGGGAGCAGACCTAGAGACAGGCCTGAAGAGAAATGAGGTAGATCAATGTTACAGAGAATCAGAGAAGGTCGGAGAATCAGCTCGAGGCCACTTTCTGGTCTCAGAGATAGAAGAAAGCGCAAACAGAGCCGGAGAGGACCAAAACCGGAGAGCAGGTCCAATGACAGAGGAATAAAAAGGACATTAAAGTTTCGATACTGGACAAGGAAGAAGAATAGAAACAGAGAACATATTCACATAAAGGACCCTAGTCACGCTCATGAAATGTCAACGCGAACTATTGCCGCTGTCCCAGACGGCCCACACTCGAGGGAAGCAGCATGGTGGCCGAGTCCAGGGCCAAGCCGAGAAATTAGAGTTGCAAACAAAGTCAGAGCCAGAGAAAATCGGAGAATAGAGCAGGGCAGAACTTGATTGCGGAACTTGGGGCTAGACCGAGACAGCGGATAGATATAAATGACAAAACAACAGGTTTGCAGTAAGGGGTCGAGACACAGACATATTGCAGTGACATAAAACAAAGTTAAGGAACGCAACCGAGTCACATTCAACTCAGTAACTTTCCCGAGGGTTGCATTCTCACCTACCAATAGTTTCAGACATGAACCACGGTCTTGGCATCGCGTGGTAGTGTAGTCAACGCCCACACTCCCGTCCGGACCGGATCAGTAAACACTATGGAGAGCTCCGCCTCCCGCTGCACCGAGCATCACACACGATAAATTCGGCCAAGCCGAGCACGACACCGACCGCTTGGCACTCCGAGGTTCTCTTGCGTTGCCGAGAGTGCCGGAGTCAGGCGACGAGGGCGATCTCAATAGCTCTGGTGCTCTTCATGACTCGGGCAGGGGTTAAAAATAATAGCATCGAGTTTGACCACGCAGTCTCATGCTCAAACTCCAAATTCCTTAACGACGGGCCTCGCGGCATGCTATGCAATAGAATCATCGCAACAGATTGATTGATCCCACCGGTGAGGTCAACATCAATCTATCCATGCGGGAAGTGGAGGTGCTATGTAAGTCATATGGCAAGAAGCGACTCAATACAAAAGTCGGCGACATTTCTTCCCTCGAGGACACCGCACCCTAGCCCACGCCCTTCTGCAGACCCCCCGAACAACTCTCTTTTATTGATTCTGCCGCAAAACTCTCTTCAAACGTCAAAAAAAGAAAACCGCAAACACAAACACGATTCAACAACAATATGCGCTCCTTCGTTTTCGTCACGATCGCCGCCCTTGCCATCGGCCAGGCCGCGGCTCAGATGCCGGCTCGCGTCCAGCCTCTCGCGCCCCGCCAGAGTGTTGAGTCTGACTGCAACACCGTGCCCGAGTGCGGTCAAGGCAACCTTGGCGCGACTTGCCAGGTGACCTGCATCGACAACGTAAGTAAACACCGGTTTGAGTTCTCTGCTCAAAAGAAGCTCTCGTCGCTGACATGTCTGGCCGGGGATGTAGCCTGGTGGCGAGCGCAAGAAGACCGGCGTCTGCAAGAATGGCACTTTTGGCATCAGCTGCTACTAGGAGACGTCAGGTCAGATGTTGGCCTAGGTGTTGGACATCAGAGGTCTCTACTTTCGAATTAAGCATCGACATATTGGGAGGATCAGCATGAATGTTATACATATATCCAGTGAGCGAACATTGTAGCAGTTGAGAATTGATTTCTTTCGGTTGCACAGGCGTGTTCTGCGAGTGACTGGACCTGTCATGCTGGGAGGGCTCTGATAATAAGCTTCGTCCGTTCTATCCTTTTGCCGCAGGAGGTTCATCGCATGTCCATCCAACTCTACTCACGTGAGTCATTGTCAAATGCACGTCTCAAACCCTGAATTGTGATGCCGAAGATGATCTCAATTTCCTATGACAGCGTTCATCCTCTAATCAGGTAGATGCCAAGAAAGGCACAACCATTCCAAGTCTTTGCCCCCAGATGCGAGCATTACGTGATCTGTTCTTGCCGGTAAAAGCCCTTTGTCCTCAGTTACCCCCTACTCTGGTTCAAAGTGCGAGCGACTGAACCATCTCCAACGCCTCCTCCGCAATGGACTCATCCTGGGCCGGGCGAGGCTTGCCCGGGGGGTAGAGAATAGCCGTAACGTCGCCTTCCTTAGGAATCAACTCCATCACCTTCTCGAAATCCGCATTGCCGGCTCCGTAGAGCTTGATGCCTCTCTCCTCGTAGGGGCGCCACGTCTTGTGCAGGGAGTAGGCCGTGCCGGTAGTCCACAGGTCCTGGAGGTCGGGGAACGTGTCCTGGTCGACCATGATCAGGCCGCTGTCGAGGTAAGCGTCCTCGAAGTGCTTCTTGTTGTACCGGCCGATGCTGACGAAGACGTCTCGAAGGTTCGGCAGCTTAGCAAAGTGCTCCATGATGTTGTGGTAGCTCTTGTTCAAGCACGCCAGGCTGGGAAGGTAGAGGTGCTGCACGTGCTGGAGCATGGCGTAGCCCGCAGGCGTGGGCTTGGAGATGGCTTGGACGAAGCCGGCGATATTCTCAGGCTCCACCAGCCGGGTGATCAAGGGCATCACCATGACCTTGTCGAGGTGGGGGATGACCCAGGCCTCCACGGGGGCGAGCGTGTCATTGTAAGGCAAGGCGAGCGGGACGCGAACGAACTTTTTGTGCACGAGGGCGCGCGTCTTGGTGTTGACCTGGGAGGCGAGCATGATGGAGCGGAAGCGGGTCTTCAATGGATAAAGCGGCTGGTTTCTGGCCTCGTCTTCGTCTTGAGAGAGGATGAAGGCGAGCTTGGAGGGGACGCGATGCTGGTAGTACATCCAAAAGGAGAGGGACTCCTGGAAGGCTTCGGCCTTGGCGATGAGGGTGTCCACGACGAGAAGGAAGACTTCGTAGGGGACGGGGCCGCGGCTGTTTTCGACGGGCTTGCTGAGGACAGGCATTTTGGCGGGTGTCGATAGCGTTGGCCCAAGTCGGAGGTAGGTTGGAGAAGGATTGTCTAGAGCGACTGTGTTAGAAGAAACACGCGACAATGGGTTTTGAACGAAAGATCTTAACAAGAGACCGGATTGATGAAATGTGATTATAAACTCACCTGTCAGACCGAACAAGCTTCCTCGAGGAGCTATGGAGCTGGTGTTGCTGAAGTGAGGAAGACGCTTGGCTGGTTTTTGGTTGTGCGCGTTGAGAAATATTTGCGCTTGTTAACTTGAGAGGTGAAGAAATTTTCTCGCTGGCGAAAGAGAGCAGCTTGCGCAAGTTCAAAGGGAAGGAACCAGAGGCCCAGTCTCATGTGCCTTCCCATTGAAATCAGTTTTCACCTTCATCTCTAAACAAACGGATTTGCCGAGGGCCGCCCACATCAAGCAAACATACCTCCGTTTGACACCTCACATCATGGCGTAAAAGAAATAATATGCGCGCACCACATCCTTATTCAAAGGCCTTAATAAAAAAAAAGAGCCCACATGCCCTATGTAATATGGACTTCATGTCTGTCTAAGTTGTTGCGCTGCCTGGGATGCAAAATGCGTCTTGATTATTACACTTGCCCATATGTTCATGCCTCGGCTCCAGGCGCCCTCGATAAACCAACCTCCATGCTGGAGTCCGTACGTCTCCATGTTTCTTCCGGTCTCCCAATCATATGTCGCACGTGCAAATAGGATTAATTAGTCTGCTTCGCAACCCATCCGCAGTAGGCACCAATTCCAGCTTCCTCCTCTCCGCGCTCCCTCCCATACCGACAAACACTTTGATGCCCCTCTCTTCCGCTCGCCAACAGAAGTATTCTAGTGCCTGGCGATGCCAACCCGTCCACCTCCCTATTGTCGGGAAGAAGTACCCGCTCAGCGGTATGAGCTCGTCACTGGGATGGGGGTGGTCGATTTCGGGATATCGATAGCTTGCACTTGTGATGACAACTTCGGAGTTCAACGTTATCTCTCTGATGCTGGGGAGTGCCAATATTGAATCAACGTCGGCTTCGTATTCTTCCATCAGAAAGTCTCGTGGAAAGCCTTGAATGTTGACGAGGGATTGGACTAAAACCCGGTCCTGAGCTAATGGGTGCTGTAGAGCCTGTCTGAATTGAAAGCAATCGCTCGGCATGGTGCAAAATATCGGATTGAAAAGATCCGTTTTTGGATGTACCCATAACGGAGACGCCTTTTTGCTGTACGAATCCCAAAGGGTCATGCGCGGAAACTTGCGTAGGGCCATGCCACGAGTCTTGCTGTTCACCTGTAGTGCAAGACGCAGTTGTTCAAATCTTCTCTTCCTATTCCGTAGCGTCCATCTCGGATTTGAGAACAAATCGGTGACTTGTACGTCAAGTCGTGACTCAGGCTCAGAACGCGACGACAGGTAGAAACACAGATCCACTGGCTCCGCGGTGACTTCGGCTTCGAGAATGAGAATGTCGACTACGTTGAGAAAGACCTCGAGTGGAAGCGAAGGCGCGACTGGACAGGCCGTCATCGCAGGCGAAAGGATGTGCTATCTTTGTCGTGAAGCTGATTGCGCCCACCTCATCTGCGTGGGGATTGAAGGGACCAAATGTTTTGCGCCGAGGGGAAAAGAGAGGCGATGGCGAGAAAGTTCTACGATTGAGTCAGTCAACTGAACAAGAACAGTCTGGACGCTTCAGCGTACGACGGTGTCGGGGTTCGGTGAGGCGCGACAAGATGATGGCCAGGGATTTGCGCGTCGTTGTTGCATCAAGTCAGATTGACCTCGGCGACAAACAGAAATATCCCGACAAGGCACAAGAATGTCGGGAGGCTGGGCTGATCAGACGCCATTATCGGCGGATAAAAGTAGACAAAGACGGTGCCGACGCGACTACCTACCCCAAAGGTCAGGCTTTCTTACATGTGGACAAACACTAAAGAAAAACAGGATAGGGGTGATGGGGGCGTGACAGATCCAAGTAAGGACTTACGCGCTACACGGACGAATGAGATTCGCTGACGTCGGTCACGATGGCATACATGGACATGTCTGACATCGGTCACGATGAATCATACCACCCGGAAGATAAACTTGAGTTACCCGAGTCGTCCAATGCACACGGCGATCCCTTATAGCATCGACATTCGGGATGAACAAACTTCATTCTTGTGCCGGCAGGAGTTTGAATCAACTCGATCGTCTTCCAGAACCAAAAGAATCGCGGGTCGATGCAAAAGATTTTGATGCCCCTTGCACGAGCTTTCTCCGCCCATATTGCGTAATTTTCGTTCGGTTCGTCGTCGTTGAAGTACAGTGCCAGCTCTGGGAAGAGATCTGCGTCAATTGGAAGCAAGTCGGCATGGGAGTGCAGCTTTTTCGGGACCGGTACTGGCTCGAACTCATCACCGGTGTATCCGATATTGAGATTGATCTCGCGCAGATTTGGCAGGGCGTAAACTGTCTCGAGTTCTGGGACCCAGCCCTCGCCGAAAAAGTAGGGCGGAAAATCGTGGACTACCTCAATGCTCTTGACGAGCTGGGCGTCGAGTGGCGTTGGGCTCTCAATCGCACGCTTGAGATTACCCTGTTCTTCGTCGGCGTCGGTATTGAGGTAAAAAAGATCTAACTTTGGACAGACCCAGCCCATATGTCTCGATCGGGGCCTGGCGGTTCGCATGGGAAAGGGGACAAAATGCTCGTGGATAAGTCGTCTGGTATGGTGGTTGATCTGCAAGGGCGCGCGAATGCTGCGGAAGCGTCTCATCTGGGTGGAATCGTGCTGCCAGGCGAAGCGGGTGTGAATGAGAATATCAAGCTTGGAGTCGTGTCTCGCGTCGGAGTACGTGAGAACCATTGCCATCTCGTCGGCTATCTCCACGGCTTGGGTGACGAGGGCTTGTAGGATGGCGAGGACAATTTCCGGCGGCAAAGACTCAGTCATCGATGACCGGCGGATGGTCGGCTGAGGTGCTATCTTAGGCGACGCATCCCAGGCGATGCTTGAATTGCTTGACTGATCGGAGTCGTAGTAGTCCATGATCTGTGGGCGCGGCACTGCAGGAGGATGAGGAACAGCGATCGAGGGCAAGGTGCGGGAAGGCAAGTGGTTTATCCTTTTGCATTGATATCTCGGATGTGAAAAAGCACTTTCCAATCATGCGCGGGCCGAGAGGCAGAGAAATGATACGTGAAGTGAATGACGATCTTTCCAGTGGTGGACTGAGACATAGATTCAAAATCCGCATTCAGCGATGTGAAGCCTGACGACAAATGCAAACAGTCAACGCGGGGAACTTGAGAATCCCTCTGCCGGTGATACTTCCGAGAACGTTTTGGGCCTCCATTCCATCAACGTCGCTCAGTTCGTTTCTGGTGGAGGTGTAATGTTCGTGGATGAAGTAGTCAAGGATGTTGCGATGTCAACCCAGCGGCGTAGGCACATGCTGTTCCGATAGTAATCCAGTCATCGAGGTAAGACCTGTTGGCTCGTAGAATAATGCGTTGCGACCGACATCTTCGAGTCTGTCTGGTGACTGGAGTTACCGGTACCTATCCATCGAAAGTTAGATCGCGAAGCTGGATCTCGCATCGATGTGTTCTTTGCTCTGCATGTCGTCCGTATTTCGCGCTGGGTCGAAGGCGGGCAGCCTCGGAATGGCCTTGATATCTCATGTTCCACAAGATGCCGTATTGGACAGGCCAGGCCAGGTCCAACCCTTGCTTGTGCAACCGCAATGCTGCAGCCTCTTTGTTGCCTCTCAAGTTGCTCGAGATAAATGAGATGGTGCGTTGAATGAGGCGGTGACGGGTAGCTGCATGGAAGGCAACCGCGGCAGGGAGCTCCTTTTGGGGTGCTCGCAGTTTCCTCGCGAGAAGGAGGAGTTGGGAAAGTCCTTCCTTCCTCTTCTGTTTTTCCATCCCATGCTGGGCGCTTCTCATTTTTTCACCACCATCCACTACTGGAAAAGAGTGGTCTTGCTGTCGCAAACTTTGCAGCGGCTTACCGTGCAACAAAATTTCGTAGGTAAACTGCGCGGCCAATTTCCAACTCCAAGGCTGACGGTCGATATTTTACAGATCGCCGCACCTTTGACTTCAAGCGAAATCACCAAGCCATGTGTATTTGGTGGGCTTGCTTCGGAGACGACTGGGAAGAAGACGACTGGTGGCCTTGGAACCTCTTTTGGCATCAGACTTCTATGCAGTACGCGGCGCAACGCCAATTGGAGTGGGACAGTGACCATCACGGCCATCATGGAGACACCAACGACTCTGACGACGATCATGACGACCATGAACACGACGACGACGACGACGATGATCATGATGACGATAGCGACAGTGACGACAGCGATTAACTGTGCGGGGAATGCCCGAATGCCCCCATGCCCCCTCAAGCTACCTCCGAGAAGCCATGAGAATCGCAATGTTGCCGGTGCAAGGCGTGTGCAAGGGAATAAGATAGCAACGGCACCGTGACTGATAGTCTGTCACTCCAAAACGCTCTGCCGGGCCGAATTGGGCCTAAATCAATCCCAACGGAAATCTTTCTCTCGATCTTCAAGTTCCTCTGCGAAGACGCTCTATTTGGCGCCAATCCCATTACGTGGAGTTTTTTATGGCCATACCATCGAACGCCTGGACTACACACCTGCATGTCCAGAGGATAAGGACGAGCACCTACGCAGATTTGAATCATTCCGCCTCATTCTGGCTGTCAACTCCTCTACGAGGCAGATGGCCCGGCGGATACGTTCTTGCTCGCCACTTGACGAGAGCCACTTTCGGAATTGCCGCCGGGTCATCTTCAGGGTTGACTCTTTCCAGCCAGACGTTGGTTCATGCAAAACGTTCCCGAGTTGCCCTCCTAGCCAAAATATTGTTTGAAACATGTTCAACCCCTCTCTACGCCTTTCGGCTGTACACTTTATGCGCACTATCATTGGCTTCGATATCGACGTCTTCCAACGGAGACATGCCATGGTCATTTACCTTCTTTCACGGCTGCCTTTCTTAGAAGAAATTGGCGTCGCAATCGGTGCTGTCCATCGAGACATGACAGGCCACGTAGCCTAGGATTCGCATGGGAGCCTTCAGGCCACCGACGAAAAGGTCTTTGCTGACTTGGGTTCTTGGAAGGTGGTCCACGGAGCGGAATTCAGCAAGCTTGCGACACTACCTGACGAGACTGTTGTTGATGGCGAGAAGGCAGTGAGAAACAAGCCAGTCCGACATCACATTGAAAGGGTCACATGAGGGTCTCAACACGAAGATTGCGAAGTTGATTGCTACGAATCAAGGACCTCGAATGTATTTCCTTCATCCAGACTGCCGCTGTGCGAATACAACTTCCCTGGCGCCCGCTTACGATTCTAGAGAGGGAATCGCAGCAAGCCTTCAACCCTCATCCCATCAGTCCTTAGCCACATCTTTACCTATAAACGTGGACTGGCTAGAATCTGCACTGCGGTTATCGTACCAATTCAGGACCGGGCGCCCATCACCTCGGCGACATTTATGAAGGGTTTTGTCAGAGTAGATCCCGTAACAATAATCTGAGAATCTGAATGTTTCTGATCTTGGACTCTTCGGCATGCCTTTTAGTATTTAAGTAAATGCTGAACTATTCCTCATAGAAATACAAATCAAGGAAAAGGTCAAGCTTTGCAGCGTGATTTCTCTATTTCCTTCCAGACGGCCTCAATTTTGTCCCATTCTGAACGCGTTTCATTGGGGAAAAGTCCCTTCTCGCGGCGGTGAGCGCACCACACCCACTCCAGAAGGCGCCTGTCTCGGGTGGTAGAATACTTCATTGCATGCATGAAGTTGCTTCCGGGATGCCACTCTCCTACGCCTCCGATACCAAATTTATCTATTTCGGGGAAAATCAGAAACCGGACATTCTCATCGAATTCGGGAGCTCCAGCATAGACATGCAGAAACCTTTTGGTTATGAAAGTGGGGTAATGGATGTCAACATGGGTTTGGAGTACTCTCCGGTGAACTAGTCTTCTTGCTTCCTGACAGATACTCAAGGGGATCCGAAGAGCACGATAGCGCCTTTTCTGCGCCAGAGCGTCGTCGTGAAGACGCTCTTGTTCCGTATCCAACTGGAAGGAAAGGAAATCACCACATGGCCCAGGCCAGAAGACGTATGGCTTTTCGCGACACAAGAGCTTCAGATGAAGAGGCTTGTCGGATGAAAGTTAGGAGAAACCTTCTTCGATGAGGATCCCTATAATTAGGATAGAGATATCCCAGGGGATGCAAGGCATTGTGCCTGCGACGTGAATGATCAGCCTACGGTTCATTTTTGAGCTTGATTGGGTCTTTGGAGCTCAATAATGAGTGTAATGGGCCTCTACTGACCTTTCGACTTTGGCTTTCTATTTCGGACAGACCAGTACTTCTTCCGCACGAGGCGTTTCACGCTGTCCCCTTCTATCTTGGGTTTTCCACCCGGGCCAAGAACATAAAACCCCTTTTGATGATGACCGTGTTGGTAACGATGAGGGCTATCGTGGAAGAAGTACCTGAACGCGAGGTAATGGGGTGCCCAGGTTTTGCATATGCATGGGTCGGTTTTGTAAGACAGGCGTGGTCCATCAGGCGTGGCCACCAACTCCGCCCAAGGGCCCCTTGAACGAGCAGTCGCGAGCCAGATGGGAATTGCTCTTTTTCTCAGCGGTTTCGTAATCTCATAGTAGCTCTGTCCTTTGGTCTCCACCCATTTGCTCAGGTGGACAGAGTCATCTGGGTTCCAGCTCTCGATGCGCTCAAGCTTGTCGTGAGAGTGATCTTTGGGAAGCAGCTTGAAGTCATGGGTCGGGGGCGGGACGCTGACTCGAATGACCCGAAGGCTCGGGAAAGCTGCTAGGGCTTCGAAAAGGGGTCTGTGCTCGTCCATGAAGTAGTCTATATCTCCCAAATCGAAATTTTGTACACAGTTGAGAAGCGTTTTATCGGCAGGAAGCGGGCTCTGCACGGCATGGAGCAAATCGATAAATGCATTGCGATCCTTTGCTACTCTCTGTCTCTCTGATAAGATGAACCCCCAGTTAATTCTTAGCTCGTCCCGGGACTTCGTGATTACGGAGAAACTGTCTATCTCGGGACAGAGCAACCAGGGTACTGCATCGTCAAAGCGAGGTCTAAAGTTCGTGTACACGGGCGGTATTGCTTCAGTCTGGATTTTGAAGGGAAAGATTCGTTGATGCACAATCTTTCGACTTGCCTGATTTGTACCCAGCAAGACACTGAGAATTCTGTATCGTTTCTTTTGTGCCCTCGACTCCATTAAGGAACAATGAATGGGTATCGGGTCTTGATTATCGCGTCCTACCCCTTGGGTTTTGACCCATAGGCGGCCGGCACCGGGCGCAGTGGTATCTCTGACCTCATCACAATGGAGTGTCTTGCGATGGTCGTCTTGTGTGGCGAGAAAGGCAATTGTGTCGTCTAGCATGTGTTCAATGATACGGATGAAGATCTCATTGGGAACTGTGTCTGGACCCGGTCCTCCAGGATGGGCGGGTTGCAGTCTAGGTCTTGGCGGCGGCCATGGGATGATGTTCTCGCGACGTTTTCGGACTGGCAGAATGATCTCCATGTTGGAGGGAAAGAAAAGATTGACTGTTCTTCGCGTGAGACACAGAGGAATGAGAAAGATACAGGTTGGCAGCTTGCTCGACGGGGGCAAGGGGTAGATATTGTTGAGGGGCGGGGTGCATTCACGTTCGGGGAGTTTGGCTTGGCAGATGCAGCCCTTGTCCCACCTAAGCAGCAACAAAGCAGCCGTTGCAGTCGAGGAAGAAAGGGGAAAGAAGAAGCGAGGAGGAGTCAATATCCAACAGCATTGGGCACGACTACCTCAGAAAGTATACCTAAACGCCGGATCATTCTGGATGGGAACCCGCTGCACGTCGGCCTTCCTGTTCTGTCGCCTAAAGTACCACCACATCAACGCCACCAACAATATCAACAAGAACTGCGTCGCGACCGCGTACCACACGCCAGTCCGGTACGTCGGGTACTCCTGCTGCATGAAGGTGCACGAGGCGTAGATGCCTCCGATGGCGGCGAAGAGCATCTGCACGCCGCTGGCTACCGAGCGCCGGCTGTTGGAGCGGACGTTGTTGGATTGGAAGGCGATGATGGTCGGGAGGTTGCCGTTGCAGCCGGAAACGCCTAGGAAGACACCTGGAAAGAGTCAATGTTTGCATCGGTTATTGGCATCCTGGACGGTCGTACCAAAGTATCTCACCCCGTTGTCGGAATGGTACGCCGTCAGGAGGAGTCCAGTCAGCGTGATCGCCGCATTGAGAACCATCCACGGCATCCTCAACCGCGTTTTGTCCGCGACGTAGGCGACGAGGAGAGTCCAGATGATGCTGAAGAGATACGGCGGGGCGCAGAGAAGGAAGACCACGGCGGTCGAGTAGCCGAGCGTGGTGAGGATGATCTGGATGAAGTAGGCAAAGGCGTAGATGGGCGCGGAGCAGCAGAGGAACATGAAGCCGTACACCCACAGCTCCCAGCGTATGACCAGCCTCGTGAACTTTTGCCAGGTCAAGGGGTCGGGTTCCGCGTCGCCCCGGTCGCGCTCCACGCGGTCGAGGATGGTTTCGATCTCCTGCTGGGTGAAGGCGGTGCGTTTTCCGGATGCGAGGAGCTGGTCTGGGAAGGGCAGGGTGAATATGTATCCGATGAAGGAGAAGCCTACTGTTAGGGCGCCTTCAATGCTGAGGGAGGTTAGTTGGTTTGGGAAGGGGGTGGCATGTTGACTTGCATGAAGATCCAACGCCATCCTGCGATACCGTGAGCTCCGTCAAGCTTGATGATGGCGTAGGCGAGGATGTTGCCAAAGGCGGAGATGAAGAGGTTGATCATATACCAGAGCGCCATTCTGGTCTCAGCGGTCAGTGATGGATACGTCCTTGACGAGGACGACTTGCCTCTGCTGAACTTCGTACCGCTGATACCAACTGCTCAGAAGGTACATGCAACACGGAAGAAACCCGGCCTCGAAAATCCCGATGAGCATCCGACAAGCCACAATCACTCTCCAGTCGTTGGCGAACCCCATGCCAAGCATCACTATGCCCCAACTAAAGACCAGACCATTGAGCAGGATCTTCGGGCCGATGGGTCTAAGCGCCAGGGTGGTGGGCAGCTCGAAGAGGAAGTACGTGATGAAGAAGACGAGCAGGGCGATGGAGTAGCGATTTCCGACGTCGAACCCAAGATCTTGGTTCATGCCGGCGACGCGGGCGTTGGAGAGGTTCACGCGGTCTAAACCGGCGATGGAGTAGAGGATGCCCAGGATGGGAATCAGCCGCCAGTCGACCTTGCGTCTGCGCCTTCTCAGCCAGGGTTAAGGCAATTATCGTCATTGAGAATCTTACCGAACGCGGGCTTCAGCCGTTCTCTGTTCCAGCGAGATGTCACATTCAACGAAAACATGCTTGCGATCTTTCTCATCCACCACAACATCCGCCTCGTCAACATGTGGCTTCTCCAGCGATGCCATGTCGATCGACTTTAGCCAATATGGACCAAGTCGAGCCCTGATCCCGAATCCAGGGGCCCGGGCCCGAGGGGCCTACTTATCCTCGACCCGATCTGCCGGGTACGCATGGCATCGTTGCAGCAGGATCTAAGGTGCGGGCAACGTCAACCGAACCGTCGTCTAGCAAGATCCGCTCCGCGCCCCAACGTCTCGTCGAGGCGTCTCATTGGATAACATGACAAACCTGGAAGGCCATCGAGCCCCAAACCCCGGATTCTGCAAAGACGGAGGGCAAAACCGTCGCGGGGAAGTGGGCCGCGGGCCAAAAGGGAGCCAAGGGACGTGGATGTTGCTGTGCGGCTCACCGGATAAGGTTTTCAGATGGAGCTGCAAATTCCCCTGTAACGCCGACCGGCTTGGCGTGGCCTATTCTTTTTTTCTCCGGTAGGATGACGACGTTGGTTGACTAATTTGCAGATAGGAATTGGCATTCCGACGATTTCCGCGGTTCCGAGCGTGGTTTGAGATATGGATTCACCCCGCCGCTGGTAATTGCTGATAATTTCGCGGGTCACAGACAATGGCACAAGAAACACCACATTGATTGAACGTACCGAATGAAATTACTAAGCTGATGAGAGATGAACTGCTGCACATGCGAGGCATCTTCACAATCACCTGCATGGCTGTTTCAGCCGTCAGTCGCCTGACTGACATGCTCACTCACCTCACTCCTGCCCCTCCTTCGGCTTCGGGATGACGGGAGGTGTGGTTTCGCCGAAAAGCTGATGTGAGACGGCGCGTGAGCGAGAGCGTGGGAAAACACTGTGGAGGGATCCATCTCCGTTGATCGGAGCCGAGAGCGGAGATGACACTTCCGACGACCCACTCTAGGTACCCGGGAAGCCCTGTGCGATGGATGCACCTTCCATCCAGAACCGGATTAGGAACGGCTGGCCAAAGCTCGGGCCACCGATATCGATATGGCTTATCGCCTCTGATTTTTTTTTTTTCTTCTTTTTTTCCTCTGTCCCTGTGCACCTTGCCAGGTTCATCCTTCCATGCACATCAGACTCGGCGACTCATCATCGGCCGAACACTGTCAATTGAATGGTCAGGGCACACGCACAGTGACCCCAGACGAATGACCTGCTTGCTTCTCAACTCTCAACCACAACTGCCGCTGGCGTGGCTTGCCAAGGACGATGGGAGCAAGAGGGAACCTTCACAAGCGTGTTTGCCCGCTGCAGGCAGCCTTCCCGCGGGCAGCGCCCCGCCGAAAGAGAAGAGAGAAGTCTCGGATGGAGCCCGAATTGCAAAAGACAAGCGCCGTCCTGCTCCGGAAATAATTTTCGACCACACAGTTTGTGGTCGAGACACTGGACAGGGACGCCTGGTGGCCGCCGTGACAGGTTCCACATCCCATGCGGAGGGCCCAATCCGCAAAACTTTCAATGTGGTATCCCTCGATATGCTTTCATGTCATTACACTAGATGATTGACGGCCGGATGCTTCTTTCTCAGAAGAGAGCAACAACATCTTCCAACGTCGTCCGCCAGCGCACAACCATGTCCTCAGCACTTGCGATGCAGCACCCTCGCCGGAGTGTTGCTAGCTGCCCTGCTGTTGGAGCCGGCCCAGGTCATGACTCTTGCGTTCCCGGCTTGGCCTGGCCCTGCCCGCTTGCCGCTTATTCCCACGGGGAGACTTGGCCACGACTGGAGAAGGGAGGTGGGGTCCAAAAGCGGACCTCGGCTGAGTATCCACTCCTCCTATTCATCTCGAGGAAAAGATTGGCTCTTCTGATAACGAACCGGAATTTGTCACTTTGCCGTCTCGTTTCACAGCAGTAATCACCCAAATGGAGAGAGAGGCAGTCATGATGCGGAGAAGGGCGTCGAATACCTACCTGAACAGGCGCTTTGGCTGCATGAACCTGGATGTCTCGGTTCATTCTTCTCGACGACGCGCCATTACATTCCTGATGTCGGACAATGAAGGTATCATCCATATACCGCACGAATACTATGTATAGGTCACAATCGGGCCCTCAACATGGTTCTGCTTCGGCCGGCCTTCCAACACCGGCTATCTTGGCCCCAAACGACCGACACGACCCCTAGTCCCCGCCGTTTATCCCCAAGGGGACGCACACAGAAACAGTCCAAAGTCCCATCGACAGGCCGCAGAAAGGGCGGGATCGCCCACGTCTTTTTTCCAGAATGCCCACCCACGCCTCCGATTGCGTGCCTTGATTACCCACATCGCACCCCATCACACCCTTCGCCCCGGTGGATCGGATGCGGGCTGCCCACCACCACCCACCATCCATCTGCACTCCTGCAAAGTCCTGCACCCCTTGGGCTCCACGGAGAGGGGCCGTCTACCTTGTCTGTCTGACCAGCAACAAACGTTTGACGGGCCGCTTTGCCCAAATTTTTGTTGGTTCTGTTCAATCTTCTTCCTTCCCTCGTCTCTCGTTTTCTCGCGGCCGGGGAATGCATACTTCTTACCAAGAGGTCACTCATTGTTGACTCATCGCTCTTCTTCAGTTCCCCATTGTAATTCACGCGCTTGTTCCGCGGTCAGTCGCAGATAAAAGCGCATCATTGGCCATTCCAGTCAAGTGTTGTAAGCTGGTTGCGACGTTCAAAACTCGTCTCCCGAGGCCCGGCGCCGCCTCCGTCATCCGTTCTCGTCACATCCAACATCGGGCAGCACGAGCGCGTCGCGTTCGGCTCAATTCATGAGAGCAACCCATTGAGCTTGAGAAACCTCGCCTACCAAATCAGCATCTACATCCGGGCCGCGCCGTAAAGTTCCACCACACACAATGTCCGCCCCCGATCCGGAAAAGGGGTCCCACGCGGCCGAGACCGCGACAACGACCAGCTCCGGCCAAGACTCGCCGCAGCTCCGCCCTCTCAAGACCGTCCAGTCTCGGCACAGCCACCGGAGCCGCGCCCTGTCCACATCCTCCACCGACACCGACCCCCTCGAGCCGCTCTCCCACGCCCTCACCCCGGACCTCGAGACCGAGATCGAGCACGCCGCCCGGGAGCCCATCACCTACACCCGCACCGGCACCAGCATTGGCAGCACCGCCTCGCGCCCGCCCGACTTCGAGGTCACCTTCGAACCCGGCGACCCCGAGAACCCCAAGAACTGGCCGCTGTGGTACCGTGCCTGGACCATCTTCGTCGTGTCCTTCTCCACCTGGGTCATTGTCCTCTACAGCACAAGTTACACGGCGTCTATCCCGGGTCTTGTCATCGAGTATGAGTCGTCCCAGGTCATCGCGACACTGGGTGTCACGACCTACCTCCTCGGTCTCGCCGCCGGCAGTCTCATCGTCGCCCCGATGAGTGAGCTGTACGGCCGACAATACGTCTACGTCGTGTGCTTCATCATCTCGGCGCTGCTCATCATCCCATGCGGTCTGGCCAAGTCCCTGACGACACTCATCGTCGTCCGCTTCTTTGGGTATGTCACTCCCCTTTCCAGCACACTTCACTCTGATGACCTCTGACACGATATAACAGCGCCCTCTTTGGTGCTGCCCTGATCGCCAACAGCCCCGGAACCGTCGTCGACATCGCTGACGAGGAGTACCGCGCCCTCGCCATGTCCTTCTACAGCATCGCGCCCCTGAACGGCCCTGTCACCGGGCCCCTCATCGGCGGCTTTGTCTTCCAGTACCTCGGCTGGCGCTGGACCAACTGGGTCGTCCTCATCATCGCCGGCTTCGCCATCTGCCTCATGTTCACCCTCAAGGAGACCTACGCCCCGACCATCCTTCAGCGCAAGGCCGCCCGCATCCGCAAGGAGACCGACGACCCGCGCTGGTGGTGCCGCTACGACGAGAAGGTCTCCAAGCTGCACCTCATCAAGCTCAACCTCAGCCGCCCCTTTGTCCTCAGCTTCACCGAGCCCATCCTGTGGTTCTTCAACATCTGGTAAGACTCTTACTTCCAAGTACTCGCCCCCAGCAATGCTAACTTTTCCACCCAAGGATCTCCCTCATCTACGGCATCCTCTACCTGTGCTTCGTCGCCTACCCAATCGTTTTCTCCCAGCACCGCGGCTGGGGCCCCGGCACCTCGGGCCTCGCCTTCCTCGGCATCGGCGTCGGCACCATCGCCGCGATCCTCAGCGAGCCCCTCTTCCGGCGCATTATCAACGCGCACCCCAAAGACCCCGTCACCGGCCGCGTCCCGCCCGAGGCCACCGCGCGCGTCATGACCATCGGCGCCATCCTCACCCCTATCGGTCAGCTCGTCTTCTCCTGGACCTGCCTGCCCAAGACGATCCACTGGGCCGTCCCCATCGCCTTTGGCATCCCCTTCGGCGCCGGCAACACCATCTCCTTCATCTACGGCAGCAACTATCTCGCCGGCGCGTACGGCATCTACGCCGCCAGTGCGCTCGCCGGCAACGCCGTCATGCGTAGCATGTTCGGCGGCACGCTGCCTCTCGCGGGCCCGAGCATGTACCGCGCGCTGACGCCGCAGTGGGCCGGCACGCTGTGCGGCCTGCTCGAGCTCGCGCTGATCCCGATCCCGATTATTTTCTGGCGCTACGGCGAGCGAATCCGCGCGAAGAGTCCGGTCATCAAGCAGATGCGCGAGGACCAGGAGAAGAACGAGAGTAAGCGGGCCAAGGCGCTGGCGAGGCTGGCGCGGAAGAAGGAGAGGGAGGCGGCGGAGGCGGCTGATGGGGAGAAGACGACGGGTGTGTTGGAGGAGCAGACTCAGGCGAGAGACTTTGAGCAGGAGACTGGTAGTAGGGAGGCTTAAGAGCAGGAGGGCAAAGGGGGGAGGTGTATCATGATGGGACGAGTATGTGTGACTATCATGAGAGGGAAAAGCGCGGCATTTATTGGCGTTTGGACTGCATGGAGACCTACGGGCTCACGATATATATAGACTTGGAGGATCCAGCGGTTGCACATTGAGCCACCATCTAAAAGTAATACCATTTCCGTACACTAATACCAATCATATGGCTTGGACAGCCTGAACCATCACGCACAGAGAAGAGAACCCATTCCTGACTGGTCTTGAGCTTGCCCAAGCGAGTCCATCTTGCGTCTTTACGATTACCGGCCCACGTGCCCCGGCCCCGTCGTGTACAGCACGCACCCAGCAATCCTCATCCCCCCCACACCCGCTTGCCCCCGAGTTCTGCCTGTGACAAGTCAGTCCGCGCCCTTTTGCGAGCCTCCCAAGGGTCCAACTTACACCGGTCCCAATTCCCAGCCAACAGCTCCACACACCAGCTCTGCCCCTTGACCAGTATCCCATCGCCCATCGGATCTTGCGGGTCTTGCGCCTTTACATCGCGGTGCGGGCACGGGTGCAGGAACTCCAGCTGGAAATGCTGCTCGCTGTAAACGCCGAGGCCGTTTCCGCGTAGTACCTGTTTGGGACGCATCACGGGCACGAGCTCGGCGGCGCGGGCGCAGAAGCGCTTTGCGTCCTCGCGGAGGTCGGTCGCGTTGACGGGGGGAGCGGATGGGAAGTTGGAGCGGGGATGGCAGGCTTGTGGGCTGAGCCAGGCTGGGGGGTTTGTGTTGGCAATGTGCTCGATGAGGGGGTCCGGGGTGGCGAGGATGGCGAGGCGGGCGGTTGTGAGGGATGCGAGGAGGAGGGTGAGGAATAGGTAGGATGCCGGGAACATGGTTGGGAGTGAGATGTTGGAGGAGGGCAGGCGATGGTAGTCCTGGACTGAAGACGATGGTCGTGGATTGTGAAGAGGTCTCGGCTTTATGAAAGATGAATCACGCATTTTGGATTATGTTTACTTGGCAGACGTGTAACATATGCTCGTAACAGCGGATCGAAATATTCCTTCGATGGACAAAGGAAGTGGTCAGGATGACTGTCCGACCCTGGTTCACCGTCCATCAGACCCAGCCCGTACAACTAGCAACGCCCCCAAAGAACGTAGGGGTACATTCGTGTGAAACCTTTCTGTGTATTCCACTGATCAAGACAAATAACGACCTCCGAGTCTGCGCAGGTGACTCCATTGATCTAAAGTCTGAACACCAACACCGGTTCCATGTTGCACAGCTTGAAACAGACAGGCCCAGAAGGCAAACACTTTGGTGCAGAAAACAAGAACACCATACCCAGTGCCAAAAACGCCGCCGTATCTATACCATCCACCCCGTTCGCCTGCCTACATATACCGCCAGTACCAAACAGCCCTCCCAAACACAACCGACATGACCAAGAACGTCGCCGGGGAAATCACAGTCATGGCAACCGCATCAGCGAAGTAGGCCCCGTACCACACGCCGCCCGCGGCATGCTTCACGTTATCCACACTCAAAATCTCGACGCCCTCCGCCCTCAGCTCGGTCCAGATGTAATCGCGGTACTTGAGCGGCCAGTCCGGAATGTCCCAGTACCGCGGCTGCAGGCTGAGGCTCTTCGCCGCCTGGACCTGGCGCCGGAGCTTTTCTCGCTGGGCGCGGCTGAAGCCGAGGCGGACGGAACCGATGGCTTGTTTGAAGGACGCGCTGGAGTAGAAGGAGTTGGTGGTGTTGTACTTTGTTTCGCTGGTGGTGTTGACTGCGGGAAGGTCGGTGAGAGGTGCGTCGAAGAAGGTGTCGTGGTATTCGTGGTATGTGGTCGTGTTGTCTGAGTGATTAGCGACGAGGGTTGGCATGTCTAGATTTCCGGTGCCGACCACGATCAAAGGTGCGCGCAGATGTTTTGGGGCGTCGCTTGACGCCGAAGAGTTGTGGCTTGTGAGATACTGCTTCAGACGGAGCGGCTCGAGCTGGCGGAGCACGACGGGCCATGTTTCCTTCGCATCGGTCTTGACGTCGATGAGGAGGATGATTTGAGCATTGTCTTGGAGAGAAAAGACGCCACGTCTTGTGTTGTTCCCCTCTGTGACCTCACGGTTTTGAGCGTCAAGGATTTGTTCCAGCGGGTTGAGATACAGAGACTTCAGAGTCCGGGTTTGGGAAAGCGATGGTTTATCATGACCGACCAAAAGATCGCCGTTTCTGAGCCATACATCAGCCTCAATGCCGATGCACCCTACAGATAACGCTGAAAACAGAGGTACTGGGCGCCAGTAATCGTTGTGAGAGTGACATTGAGCAGGAGTCGCGTGGAACGTCGTGTTACTGAGCCATGTAGAAACATAGTCTTTCGAGGCATAACCCGAGTCCTCGGGGGTTTGGAAGAAGATCTCTTGGAATGGTTGCAAGGATGCTTCTCTGGGTGGTCGAAGGATGAGACAATAGAAAAGAATACCACTATTATGAGGTCAACATGATCCTAGTGAGAGGGTACGACTGTACAACTGAGGAGGAGGGGACTTACATGATTACCGCGCAGATACCGTAACAACCGACTGCCCAAAGTGTGATATATGTGCTCAGTCTAGGCTTTGTTGTCCAGAATGACCGCTTCCGTTGGGAAACCCCATTGCAGATGAGCCTGTATTCTGAACGTTGGGGAGCATAAACATTTGGACGAGGCTGGTAGGGTTCCCCTATGCGAATATGGGCAAGCTCAACGTCGGAGTTGCGGTATCGTCGGGGACGTGAAAACATGTTTGGTATGGCGATTTGATTTGGAAGTCTGCCGTAAGAGATCTTGGAAACATCATAGACTTGCATTACTTAAGTGTCTTGAGGTCGAAATGCTTCCTTTGTGTGTCTGAATCACAGAGAGAGGTGGCCACTTTGCCTAGTGCAACACCAGTGGAGTTGTACCACATTGGCGACCAAGTCATATGTTCTGTGTCTTTTGTTTTTGTTAAGAAGCTGAATACAAGACAATTGTATCAGACGGCGCCTTGGATGTCTACTGTGTTGGTTGTGTGTGGTTTGTTACCGAATCCCGGCTTTGAAGTTGGCCGGGCTGGACAATGCTATTGATCGAGTTCAAAGACAAAAACTTCTCCAATGTTCACTGTGAGATACTCCAAAGAGATGTTCGAAATGAAATTGAGAAGCTGAACTGGGACGCTTTGATGCCGTACTAGCATTGCATCGCCCAGACGGCGTGGTCGAATAACTTGTGTTGACAAGCGATAATCTGCAGGCAGCCGAGGGCACGATCGTTCTTCCCTTCTAACCTTTTTTTTCATACTTTCGAAAAGCAGGTTACCGCGTGCTGGCACACCTTTTCGACTGCCTCATGACTCTGACTGGGAAACATGTGAGGGCCTGGAAGGCTTAGGCTAGAGAAAGCCGGGGACCCGGTAAAGGTTCACATCAACAATTCCATATAAACTATCCAGAACCGGCTCGACCAGGTTGCCCGATTTTTGAGGGCTTCAGGCCACTCTAGGTGTCTGTGCTTCGGGATAAACGGTGCAAACGTTGCTCGACTATGCTATGTTCCATTACCATAGCCCCAAGTAATGTTTTACCACGCTGTTATGTGTATCCGCAAGATAGATAACATCAAACCACCTCAAACCATCTCACACCTAACTCTTGATTTAACATTGATACTATGGGATGTTTGTCAGTCATGACGGACCTTCAAACGGCAATCTCAAACGTACACCCGCCTACGTCCAAAGCCAGTTATTTTGCTCAGATAGGTATTGCCCGTCGCCGCATGTAGGCTGAGCATCGAGCACGTAAAGGTCCAAAGAAACATGGCCAGACTGGATGAAGCCAGAGCGACATGCGGGCCCGCGCGCTTCAATGGTCAAGCTGGATACATCTTTGACAGGTGCCGCAAACGTCGCCGAGGCGTAAACTTTGAGAAAAAGGGTGGCGATGGGACGAAATATCATGTTGACGACGGGTCTGGTTGAATTTGATTGCGAAAGGCTGAGTATGTGGAACGCAAGCATGAGGCGAGCCCATACGCGCCTATTTGTACTCGGAAGTCTTTTCAAATGGTCCCCAAGCAGGAGGTCAATGGTTCAGCGGGCCATTAGATTCTCGAGTAAATTGAAAGGGCTTAGTATAAGCATGAGAACAACATGTTGTTTCGGGTCTCCGCGGGCAATGTTATTATACCACAGTAGATTGATTCTTGCCTGACATGGAGTCGTGTGAGCCAGTTGTAATCAAAAGGTAGTGCGATAGGAGAGATGGTACATTCCGCGTAAACGTGAGAGCGACGTATGCGCATAACTCGGAAGGCCAGTCATTTTCAAGATCTGATCCACTTGGCGTCACAGATTTGATGATACAAGCGAGTGTTAAAACCTTCTTAAAGGCCAGAACATACGGCCAGGAAATGCTGCAGGTCCAAATGAAATGCGCCCAGCCCTCAGGGTGAATCGTGATATAGAGACGGCGAGCTTGCCCCTTATTCATCTTGGCCACGTATTAGTCTGTTTAAACAATCAATGTGGTTTTAGGTTCCTTCATGTAGCTCAACATTGGTTTTGAATATTCGACGGAGAGGGAGAGCGCGAGAGGAGAATAGCTCGGCAGTAGTATGGAAAACGTTAAGCACAGTAAATTGAATCTGCAACTAGATCTTTCCGATTCCCGAATGGCATTTGTGTTATTTTTATCCTCCGTGAGGCCAATAGTGATAGACGACAATTTCACTTGCGGCTGAGAATGATGGCCTAGACAAATATGGCATGTGGTTACCCCGAACAAACGGTGCCCGGTGCCGTGACGCGTCAGATGCGCGTATTGTAATGAGTTTTCCCCAGGAGCTGAATACGCCTCAACTCACCATGTCGATATTGATCCTGTAAGGTGCTTTAAGCTAGCATCTCAATATGGTTAGTAGGCCGCGTCGTATACTAATCCAAGGAGAAACCCCAGGGAAGTAGGAAATTAAATCGAAGGCAAGCAAGTTGCGAAATATGAGAGATATCTGCTTCCAAAAGGTGTGTCCGAAAGAGAAAATAACGATGGACTCTGGTCTGTTCATGTCCCTGGCACAGAATTGGGCTGGCCAATAAGCGCCATTGAGGGAGGTGACGCGTACCATCGGACCAAACTCCGACTGAGCCACACTCGTGGCTGTGGTATTCCCTCCTGTCTCGAAGATCTCCGCTGCCAAACAGTAACCGTACTAATTAACCATGTCTGAGATTCCCCATAAGAAAACAACCTTATTTGGCATCTTTATTTTCTCCTCTTTGTTTCAAAGTTTCACTTCGTTGTGATCGCCCTGAAGTTCTTAAAACCCGTACTTGGTTTACCGATACAATGCCTGTCTCGAAATCCTTAGAAGCCGGTTACCCGCCGACTACTCCAATGCCGTCTCCCGGAGGAAGCCTCTGGTGCTGCCGGAGGAACCAAATACGCTACTTCGGTCCGGGCTTATTGTGGCGCTAGACCCGAGGCAGATCGGCACCTTTCAGAGAGCGTTGACCGGCACTGTGATTTTACTATCTCCGGTTAAGTTGCCGCCGCTATGTTGCCCTCGTCTCGGCATCCCGGCAGGTTGGATTGATGGTGCAACAACCGCAATGGTGGCGAAGGCCGACCCGTGCATTAGCTCCCGCCTGTGGACTTTTCTTTTCCATATTCTGGCCGCGACGGTTTTCTTCCAATTGCGTGTCGCAATTTCCAAAGCTCGAGCTGTGGTTGGGTGACGTTGATGGAACGGGTCAGGTCGGAGGTCCGAGGCTCTGGGCACGTCCGGTGGAACACGTCAGCGTCGAGGGGGAGAGTGAGCGATTGCGAGGTATTGCGAGGTTTCGAGCACGATTACCACTGCTTGCCGTACAACCGTCCATAAATCCGAACGAACCGCTTTCCGGTCTATGAGATGAATGCACTGTTCAGATAATTCCGGACGGATGAGTGGGAGGATCAGGTCGTCTCATTGCGAACCACCAGCACATGGTCACGATGCACCTCAACAATATCGGACCAGTATGACTCGCGGAAACTCTCAGCAGTAAGACTGGTTGAACCATAGATCCTTTGAAGTCGAGCGAACTGATGCCTGGTTTCAACATGGCCAGTCCTAGTGCCGGGGAAGTAAGCATACACCAGCTTGCCAGCTGAAAGATCCCGATCTTTTTTTTTTCAGCAGTGATCGCCGCCGATCACAACAATAACGTGCCTGATAAGCTAGTATAGTAAACGAGTATAGTAAACGAGAAACTGTTCTCCCTGCCAATAGAGCGGTTGTACCGTTGAAGGTAGATGCAATTTGAGATGACAGCCCACGTACCAACGACTGCACCCCTGCATGGCGCTATGAACAGCTCGGCGATCTCTACCATTGGTGCAAGACCCAAATATGGCAAGAACCGCTGGACCTAAGAAAGTTTGAGGCGATTTCTCCTAGGTCCGGCACCTGCAGGAGCAGGGGTACTGGATTGGGGTTTGAAAGCAGGAGAAACTTATCGGATAGAGACGCTGACAACGCCACACAGGATGGCTATTCGGGCAAGTGCATTGCCCGCAGCCCGACTACAACCTGACACATGCGCTAGTATTCGCACGTTCAGAGGATCTCATCTGCCAGAATACTGTTCTGCGGGTTGTGGCTGGCGGGCCCTCGGACTGAAAGATCACGGCCGTGCTACATGATGTCTTACAGACCAACGACTGAGAATGTTCTTGTCGGGACCGAGCTCAACGTGATGTGGTGGCAAGCCGGAACTGTGTCGAACATTCTCCTCGGCCATTGCTGAGTTCTTCGAGGTATATCTACTGGAGGCCCTCACCTTTGCCAAGGCTTTTATTTCCCCATCAAGCAACACCAAGTCACTCGCTGGATACAGTCACTTACTTTCGTTTTTCTCTCGTTTCATTTCAGAGCCGTCAGTTCTAATATTCATCATGCATCACGCAGCTATGATCCTGGCCGCCTTCGCGGCCACCTCTTCCGCTTACCCCGGCTGGTCTGCCCCGGGTTTCATGGATGAGCTCTATGCTAGAGCTGGTTCCATCAGCGACCAGCCCTTGGGCGATCTTGCGAGCCTCCCCGACTCATCTCTTAGCCAGACGGGCAAGGATATCAAGAACATTCTCACTACCTCCGCCTCTGGACAGTCGACCGATCAGTACCAGGGCGCCGTTCCTGCTCTCGGCAGCAAGGAATGTGCCGCCGACAAGTGCTGCGTCTGGAAGCACATTGGAGACGAGCTCGCCACCAAGTTCGCAGACGGAAGTGGATGTACCCAACCCGCCCGCGCCGCCGTTCGCCTCGGCTTCCACGATGCCTCCGGCTGGAGTATCGCTACCGGTCCCGGCGGTGGTGCTGACGGCTCTATTGTTCTCGCCCCTGCTGAGATCAAGCGCGCTCTCAACGACGGTCTGCAGGATGCTGTCACCCAGACCCAGACTTGGTTCAACAAGTACAAGCAGTACGGTATTGGTATGGCGGACTTGATCCAGTTCGCCGCAAACAGTGGCACCGTCATGTGCCCCAAGGGACCCAGAGTCAAGACCCTGATCGGCCGCAAGGATTCTTCCACGGCTTGCCCCGACGGTCTGCTGCCGGACGTCAACGACCCGGTCGACAAGCTCATTGCAATCTTCGCAAACAAGACCATCTCCCCGCCAGGTCTTGCAGCTCTCGTCGGCGCCCACACCGCTTCCACCCAGAAGACCGTTGACCCGGCCCGCGCGGGTGCTCCTCAGGATACCACCCCTGCCGTCTGGGATACCCTCTTCTACTCGCAGACTTTGGCCGGTGCCCCCTCCAACGTCTTCACTTTCAACAGCGACAAGGTCCTCTCCCAGGACTCTCGCAGTGGACCGGCTTTCAAGGCTTTCGCTGACAGCCAGCCTGCCTGGAACGTGGTATGTTCTTATCTTCAGACATCATCTCAATAATGTGACATGAGTTCTAACATTTGGTAGGCGTTTTCAAGAGAGTACCTGCGCCTCAGTCTCCTCGGTGTCGATAACATCAATGACCTCACCGACTGCACCAAGTCTCTTCCTGTCCCCAAATAAGGGAACAGCTGATAAGCTCTGACGATATGGCTGAATGACATGAATAAATAGATGGTTGGAGTTATGTTAAATTTTGGATCTGACAGGACTAGTAATTAATTTTTCAAAACTTTGATAGTTCAAGAAACAAAGCATTTCCATTCGGCATACTCGAGTTCTGGCACGATATGTGTCCGTTGTGAAATTCGTGGGTTGTGGGAAGTCCCCCAGACGTCTGAACACGCTGCAGTGCGCGCCGTGTATCGGATCCTGGGCGTGCATGCGACCAGTGCGCATTGCGTAAGCTCCATGTGCGTTGTGTTGTGCAGTTCAAACATGACTGGAGCTGTATGCGTCTGATGTTACTTCCTCCTGCAATCAATCTGATCGGTCATCACCACATCGTGTACGTCACCTTGCTTCTTGCTTAGAAAGGCAGAAGGTGATTCATGACTAACTAATTGACCTGTAGTTGAGCTAAGCCCTTATGTCAACGTCGTCGAGAACAAAAGTAGACCTGTCACTTTGTTGCAAGTTGCATCGGGGACAAAAGTCATGTGGCTGATCGAAAATGTGGTATAATTAAGATCAGTCCAATGGATGAAACTCTCAAATGAGGTCAAGGTCGCTCGAGCACAGGACGCTATGAACAGTTTACACTAAATGTTGATACCGTACTCTCTAGACCATAGCCCTGACGCCAGCCTGGATGGCCTTGAGAAGGCTGAAGTCGTAGGAGTCCTCACCCAAACTCCAAGCAGCAACACCACCGAGGCCGCGGGCCTTGACGATGTCGTTGAACTTGCGGGTGACAAGAGCAGGGGTGTCCCAGGTCCAGAAGAACGGTCCGGCGGGATCCCAGTACCACTGGCCGCCGTTGACCTCGTCGGTGTAGCCGTTGGCCATGGCGGTCTTGAAAGAGCTGAGGGTGGAGGTGCCGTTGCAGATACCGTAGTCGGACTGGCAGCCGTTACCGCAGTGGGCAGCAGTAGTACCGCTGCAATGATGTTATTCGAGATTCCTCCCATGGATTTAGGTGATTCGACTTACCAGAAGCCGTACTGGCTGCAGCAGCTGCCGGTGGGGCACTTGAAGAAGGTACCGGCGCCGCAAGAAGAGTCGGTAGACGTGGTCAGGTTGGTGGGAGCCTCCTGGAAGTTAGCAGTCTCGAAGGTGACGGCACCAGAGTTGCCGGTGTCAGTTCCGTCGGCGGCCTCGAGCAGGACGGTAGGGCAGCCGATGGGAGAAGTGCAGTTGGCGCCAGTGGCGGTGGTGAACCACTTGGCGTACAGGGCGAAACCAAGGTTGACCTTGGCAGCGTCAATGCCAAGAGAGATGTAGGTGTCGACAGACTCAAGAGAGCCCTTGACATCGGTGTGGTGGCGGGTGGTGTTGTCGCGGCGGTTCATCAAGTCGTAGGTCATGACCTGATGCCGTTAGCATGGATATTCTTCCAAGTCGCGTTGTGTTACTCACGGTGAAGTGGTCGACAGCAGCGTTGATCTTAGGGATGGTCTTGGCGGTGAAAGCAATCATGTCGCGCTTGAGACCAGGGGCAGTGACGGAGAGCTCCATCTTGTGGTGCTTGAGCTGAGTCTTGATGGCAGACAGGAGCAGAGGGAAGGTGTTGATCTCAGCCGTCTTGTTGCCATTGGGCTTCTGCTTGTAATCAGCGCCGTTGCCACCGGGGTACTCCCAGTCGACATCTATGCTCATCGTTAGTTATATTCAACGAGATGTTCTACAAAACAAATCAGCCAACTCACCAACACAGTCGTATCCAAGGTTGACGGCAGCAGCGGCAACATTCTTGGCGTACTTGTTGCGGCTCTCGTTCGTAGAGGCACCCAGGCTGAAGCCATCGGTATCACCCCAGCCACCGATAGCCATGCACACCTTGGTGCCGTTGTCGAAGAGAGGACGGATGTCGGTCAGGTTCTTGAAGGGCTTGTACTCGCCGGCGGGCTCGGAGGCGAAAAGAGAAGAGTTGGCGAAAGCAGTGATGACGTGGGTGATGCCAGACGTGACAGACTTGTCGGGAATGCCGGAGGTGTGGTACCTTTGAGGGCTTGTTAGCACATTATTCTTACAGCTGGACGTATTGATGGTGAGCCTTACTGGTCGTAGTACATGACATAACGAGGAGAGCTCGTGGCGCTGGCGCAAGCAGCGTCAGCGGCCAGAGCGGCCAAAGAGGCCAGGCCAACGGACTTGAACAACATTATTAGAGTGAGATTATGTGTCAAAAGAATGTGGTAGCTCAAACAGAGATTGAGACGGTCTGATTAGTATAGTGAACGAATGACAGAGATGCGTTGAAGACGCTGAGGACTAAGATCGATCCAACGGGACGGGAGCGGGATGGTCGCATCTTAAGGCTGCCCCAACCTCAATAACAGAGTGCCTATTCTTGTCTTGACGATGTGATGGCACCCGGCGGCGGGGCCGCGTGAGTTTCGCCCCCCTTGCCCACAATCCGGCACCTTGGGAACGGATTGAAGTTGGGTTTCCCGTCAGCCCATCGCAATCACTGGGAATCGCCAAGGAGATTGGCCGGAGAGCCAAGCAGTGGATCATTGGGGTTAGACACGCGGCAGTGCGGCACAAGACTTTGCCAAGTCAGCGGCCAAGGCGAAGATCGCATCAATCAATGTCTGCAGCTGGTGAGTTGAGCATGGCCGCTGAGTGTGGGGATTCAATATAGAGAAAAAGTATAAAATGGTGTTTCCCCTAAGTCGGAAATTGCTGTAGGCTCGGTTTGCGTTGCGGTTGGCTGACTCGCCAGGATGAACCTTTCCTAAATAACGCTGACTGAATCATGTCTAGGGAACCATTACGCAGCGAAGCCAAGATGATTTTCCAAACAAAAAGCTTGACCTGTCAAGCACGAGCCCTCCCGGTGCTTCCGTCTCAGGTAGACGGGTTGATTGATTGATTTCGTTTGGCTCAGTCGTAAGGAGATCACCCGCTCATTTGCAATGCAAGCGATAGGATTTGCCATTTCCCATAGATATTTCAGGGGCTTTTATAACTTCAACTTCCCCTCTGAGCTCCATTCGGAACGCTCCATAGAACGACATTAGTCCATCAGAAGCCTTGTTACGAGCCCTTGCGAGGTATTCGGTCTCGGTTGCCCACGATAATAGTCATCCATATGCGAAACTTACACGTCTGCGCCCATGATGGCGGGGCCTAAGATGACGTTCATCGAGAGAAAGATTGAAACACCTTCGCAGCCCGCAACCTTCGTCAATGTCCTGCGCTGTGTTGCCATGCCACATTTACATGTTTCCTGTACACCAGCATGCCAACGAATCAGGAATAATCGTAAGAAGCATCGGGCCACACAATGCAAGCCACTGTTGATTCCAATGTTGGAGACTCTGCAGACATCCTCATGGGACAATTGGCTATCCATGAGTCTCGGCCGATTACCATGACTCTCTATGGACTGCCATGGCTGGCTATCGCGATGACAATGTGCGAAGACCTGCTGAACTTCCATACTCGCTGTAGACCCGGCCAATGGCGTGCTTTGGCCAATGATTCAGCGCCAAAGTTTTAGGTCAGTCGGGTATGCATGAATCTAACCACTCGTACGGAGTACCTGAAGGGCGGTTGCTCGTTGGAGGCAGGCTCAACAGCTGATGCGTTTGAACGCATACAAAGGAACAGTAATAAATGATAGTACTAGCTGGTCCGAGTCGAAACTGAAGAGAGCTTTCGCCCTGAATTGCACATAAGTAAGTATATCTCATGATATCGTGTGTCAATCTTCCATATCTTGATATTTGTGCTGCATTGTGAGTCCATGGGTGGCGGCATTTTTGTGGACGAGGCGCTGCGCGGTGTTTTCGCTTTCACTCTGAAGGATCCATGCAGACCAACGTTGGGTTTGTTTGATAATCTTCTAGAAGCGCCTAACGTCGAAAATCGTAGCCACATTCGAAGCAAAGCGTCCGAGAATGCTGGTAATACCAAAATCTTTTGGATTATCACATTTGACATGTCGATGTGATCAGCGTATTCTATTATTGCCGAATCCTACTATGGCTTGTCTATATTTCATTTGTCTTTATCTTTGAAACGAGAAGCAAGAAGAAGACTATTTGTTGTTCATTATGTGCCGTATTCACGCTAACATGAGCAAGTCACTTAATCCGTCGGGCTCGACCATTTCACTTTTCATCTGCCCAGAAGCTTATCGCTTTGCATGCCCATAGCCTGAGCTTTGAGTAGAATGGATTCTGGTGATAGTACATGTATGTGCTACCTGTGTGACTCCAGGGAGCTTTGCGTCCCGCCCAGTTTGGACCTCTTGTTACAAAACTTTGCAAGCGAACTTTGCCACAAATTTGAAAAGCTTTTCGGAGGGATTCGATTCGGTCTGAAAAAAGCAGCAACATTGATCTGGAACAATCACATCGCCTGCGGTCACACTGACTGAAGGGCAACAGGTGATCCTTACCTCACTCTGCGGCAATCGACGCGGACAAGCCAAAGATCTCGAGCAGCCTACGCAATCAAAGGACTCAGGCATCTCATTCCGTAACGAAGAAATAATGAAGACATCGTCGAAGCAGGTCTTTATTTACGGGCCCACCTGTGCTCAACCTATGCTGGCCTGGGTTTTGACTGGCGATGCAACTCGTGTCGACGAAATTGCGCAGCTCATCCAACCAGCCAGAGTCGAATGCCTCGCCCTCCGCAGATTGAATGACTGCGACTGTCCTGCGCCCGCCAAGAAACACGGCGCATCGATTCATGGCTATGTTATACAGTTAATGACGGAGTCAAGAGAGGAGAGTTTCGACGATGAGACTTACCGAGTCGAAGATGTTCAAGCCATTTTGACTACGTCCGATGGAAAAGAAGAAGTTGTGTTTTGGGCGCGCAAATTCACCTGCACTATAGCCACAAAGGTTCACATTCTGAGGAGCTGTGGAACTTGGAATGGTTCAATGAAGAGAGGCTGGAAAATTGGATTGCGGTCCTCGAAGGAGAAGATGCCGATGGTCGGAGGTTGTGAGGATTGAATGAAACTTTTGTTACGAAGCAAGAGAACCCTGTGCAAAATTCAGACACACGAACACCACATAACACACGCAGCACAAATCCAACGTCGGCGACTCGGCACACATCACACAAGGTTACGCATTTATGACTTCATTAACAGCATAGACTCCACCAGTCGTTGGGTATCAAACAAACACCATCAATTGAAGTAGCTACGAAACATAATAAGCATAATGTACCGTATTTCATGCATGCAGGCAATATCGGCAGAGATGTTGTGAGTATACTGCCCGCAAGTTACTCGTCGCATCGAGAGTACCTAACAATATTGTTGTCTTGATAAGAGATGCAATAGGGCAAATTTCGTTAGCAACTCCTGTCACATTATCTAGTGCCCTCAGTTTTGTTGTCGATGGAATCTATGCTCGGCAGGCAACTACTAGGAGGTGAACCATCGACCGTGACTTATGAGGATGGCGTGTATGAAAGGCAGTACGCTATTAGCTTCAGCGCAAAAGTTCCCTTGTGCTCTTTGTAGTGATTTACTCAATGCAGTCTTTGCTTGAATATGTTTCTGAGGTGAAACTCGGAGCTGCCTTTGGTTATCATACCTCAGAGTGCGTGCGAATCATTGGGAAAGCGCTTCTTCTCATGCCCATTATTAGGCAATGTGAGCGGGCGTAATCACCCAAAAGTTGAATAATGGAATCCATTCTCGCAACACCCACAAGATTTGGTCTGATTCGGGCAGGGCGCCGACCGTTTACTTGCAGTAAGTTCAGCCAGTCCAAACTTCTTGGAATGTAATGTTTTGGCTAAAACCTACGATTTCCTGTCGTCCGAATACCTCGCGTTCCAGAACGTACCCGATATAGCATGCGGCCGAGTGTGGGGCAGCCCGGGGCCGGATTCACCGTCAATACCGGCGCCGGCCATGCAATGAGGAGCGAGAGCAGCACACCACACCAACGGGTAGACAATACTATCCGCCAATCGAAACTCTTCATCTGTAAGTTGAGTTTGTCTGGAAACTTCTGGCGCCTAGAGTGTGTGTGCTTCAAGACCTGCAAGCAGAAAAACTATGTGCCAGCTTGCCCGGAGGCACGTGGCCGGGGATCTGGACGGCAGAAAGTCTCTCAAGAAGCTTGTCCTGGCAACGTGAGTTGCACGTGGAAATCTGGGCAGCGCGCGAGTCTGGATAAAGCACAGGCCTAGTTTGCAGAGTTTCTCGAGTCTTGGCACCCCTCCATCTTCAAAATACCATGAATCACGAATTCGTCTTATTCGACGGCAAGATCGAGAGCTCGGGCATTTCTCGATACGCGGACGGTTCGTGGCTATGACATCTCATGGAGCAGAATATTTGCAACCCATGCGTCATTCGTTAATAGTCGCTCACTGCAAACATGGAAGCTCGTCGCTACTACAGAACCGAATAAGACCGCACATTTGCTGGAACTCAATAGTCGCCTGGTCACCATGATGCCGTATGAATACCCATTCACTTTGTTTTTGCCATAGAAACCTAAGTTAGAGAATTCCACGGCAGTCATGATGAGAATGGCCGAAATTGATCTATGTGGTCTTGGAGACGTTCGAATAATCTAACAGCAGGGTACCGTGGCTATGAATGAATCCGGCGCACTGGTTTAGCTTAGGCGCATCGTATCTCGGCACGGAAAGTTGTAGCATCTAAACTCTGAAGGCTAGTGTATCATGCAGTCTTTCAAGATGCTCAGCTGAAGCCAGTCATTCAGATACGCAGTTACTGGCACAAGAACACATGGCTGGGACTTACTTTGATGTACGCGTCGTTCTCAAGCGCCTCATGCACCTTATCACTGACAAGAGTAGAAGCTCCTGTGGTGGCTGCACACGACAGATATAAGCACGGGCTTCGATTATACAATCTGATTTTGCTTTTTGTATAGCAAGATAGTGAAACGATCAAGATAGAGCTGAAGCTTGACTTTTTTTTCTAGGAGATACTCGCGACAAGCGTTCAGCTCGGGGACCACGGCAGTCCTGTAGGCAAAGTGATTTCAACTTGCAAGAGCTCCTGTTTATCGCTTTGACTGGGAGCCTAGATACTGTAGAATTCGCAAGACCCATCAAGGTTTCATTCGTAGAACCGTCGGTCCGGGAAATCGGAAATTCAATATTGCAACTGGCTTATGGATTCGTAAGAAAGGGTCGCCTGGATTCG